TGGGCCTACTGTTCACCAAAAGAGACAGTGTTTTGTTTTATCTTACAGCTACTGCACAGCTGGTAGAGATATATCCCAAAAGACCCAAAAGAGCATTTATAAATACATTAAAATTTGGCTGTAAAAATTATTGAGACCTGTATAAAAGTAGAAAACAATGTATGTCTCACAGTTCCGATTTTTTTCTCTAAATCCCAATCAAACATGGGGTTTTGTTTACATGCTGAGGAAATGAAGAAACATTTGAGACAAAATGAAAAAGCCTAGTCTGATTCAACCAGATCATACTGACTGTATGATCTGGTTTAATTGTAAAGCGCCTTGAGATGACATGTGTTGTGAATTGGCACTATATAAATAAACTGAATTGAATTATTAGGCAGATATTAATATCTTCTAAATTTAAATACATCAGGCAGTTATGCCTGAGGAACTGCTATTCCAGATTTATAGACAAACATTTTGATAAGAGACTGTATAGAAAAATATCATTTGCCATGCTACCTGTGTACTAAATCTTTGCTAACAAACTTGATGCATGTATTTGCGGGAGAGCTTTCAATAACTAAAACAAGTAGCGCATAACTGTAAAGTGGAAGAAAATTATGTGAACCTATAAAAAAGTCTGACATGCATTTACTCTGGTTACTCCTTAACTCAGTCCTTTCAACAGTCAAAAAGTGCAGAAGGAAACAATATGGTGCTGACTCAGCGAGGAGGCCATATTTGAACAAGTCACTATGCCAAACATAGAACACTCATTCATAAAAACAACAATATGGCAAACACTAAGTTAGATTGGTATGGGAATTATTTGCTTTTTTTAAAACTGTGTCAGCGACGTAATTCATGCATATGGGTAAATTATGAAAAGTGTGGATAAAACCTTACTTATAAAAATATATATCTTATATTTTGAGATTCTGATACAACATTTAAATGGTAAATGGCATGTACTTATATAGCGCCTTTATTCAAGTTAGACTTGACCAAAGCGCTTTACACTACATTCATTCACCCATTCACGCACACACTCACACACTGATGGTGGCAAGCTACGTTGTAGCCACAGCTGCCCTGGGGCTCACTGAAAGAAGCGGGGCTGCCGTACACTGGCGCCACCGGGCCCTCTGACCACCATCAGTAGACAATGCAGGTGAAGTGTCTTGCCCAAGGATTTGAGTCTAAACCAGGCCCATTAGTCCACACATTTTAGCATAGCAGCTCAGAAAAAAACAGTTTTACTGCGTGACATCGAGGGGGAAAAAAACGATAACAGTCAAAATAATGAAAGGGATAAAGAGAATTTTAGACCTCCACAGGTTTGGGTATATCCATACTCTAGGTACCTTTTTCAGATGCCCCAAAGGTGCAACATTTATTTGTTTTAATTATATTTAGCAAGCCTAAACATCTGAGGTATATCCAGCTACTCCATTATTCAGAAAGGAGAATGACTCCGATTCCCAGTTATTTAAAATTTTCTTACACCAAAAATGTGAATCTACAAAAGCAGAAGAATTCTCACATATTCATATTCGCAATGAAATGGGTCCGACACTAACTTTGGAATTGGATCAGATTATCCTTTCCCAATGCATCAAAGTAAAAGCCGAAGTCTTGCAGTATGCATTTACAAACGCACAAGAATCCACATCTATACCACTCCAACTTAAACTGTTCAATCATGCACTAATATTGGTTAAGATGGAGCACATGGCTGTAATTAAAGCAGGAGCTGCCGAGCCCTAATCCTAATGACACTCCTTTGTCTGATAAAACATCAGTGAGAAAAAAAACTGGTGACATGTCTCTGGTGTTGGAGGTCAAGGTGAGACGTGGTAAATTCATCCACCCATCCATTTTCCATCATGCTTATCCAAAGCGGGGCCGCGAGGGGTGCCGGTGCCCATCTCCAGCTGTCTACGGGCGAGAGGTAGGGTACACCCTGGACAGGTCACCAGTTCATCTCAGGGCACAGGGTAAAGCTTTCATTTCAAAAGGTCTTACATATTATCTGATCAACTAAGACCTGCTAAGATGAGCAGCAGAGCCTACCCAAAAGAATACTTTTGCAAATTCTTAACAGCACTAAGAGTGCTGAACAAGGGGGTTCTCAAAACAAGGGTACTTCAAGAGAATATATGACACAGAACAATATAAGGTAATGAATATTAATTTGCCAGCTTTAAGTATTTGTCCTGTATGTTATACACTTTCACCCACAAAGAAGCCAGGCATGGACACAACCAATTTAACCTAATTAACAACAGATGTATCCAACTATTCTGTCCAACATGGCTTGGCTAGAATAACACCATTAGTTTTCTTCTCATTTGAGATATAATTTTTTAAAACATAGATCCTCCCGATTATCACTGAAGCGCAACTTTTTCCAAAGGTTTTCCATGAGCCCTGCACGACCAGTGAAGATTAAATGCTGCAAACTCAAACAGAAGCACAACCGCCATCAATAGAAGGCATAGCATGCTCGTAGGCAGCAACCTCATCTAACTTGAGGCCATCTCCGATGGAGAGAAATCGACAGTACATGAAGCTCTTGCGAGCTTGGGTGGTGAAAAATTGCCTAACAGATTGTGTGTTACTGATTTGCATTTTAGCCTGCATGAAGGGCGTAGCTTGGCTTTGGCTTGTGTTGAGACACAAGTCATGGGGTTCAGCAGGTTCAGGGCTGTTACCAAATGATTTAGATTCTTCAAAAAATCAAGACAATATAATGGCATGCATTATGCAGATTATTTTCTCATTTCATAAATAAGCCAAATCCAGGATGCTTTTTTATTAAATTGTTAAACAAAACAGTCCACCCAGTATGCAGCCTTGTTAAATCAAACTCAATGTATTACAACTAAAAACAGCAAGTATTTACATAAAGCTTGTGTAATATAGAGCCCCTGTCACACCTTAACAATTAAGACCAGCATATGCCTGACGTACGAAAAATCTGGCAAAAACTGGGGCATACGTTGGATTAGTTATGGGTACTTTTTGTATAAGTTATGAGCATGCTCAAGTACGCTGAAGCACACTGAAACACGCTGGCATACCTTGACATACAAGTATATTGACCTATGCCAGCGTATGCTCATACATGGGGCATGATTTACAGGTAAGTTATCTAATCGTTGACATACATTAAGTGTAAGTTAATCATAAGTTATGGTGTCTAACTTATCCAAAACCTTTGAGTAACTTGTGCATAACTTATGCGTAACTTATCAAGAACTAATCTTCAATGTTTATCAACGTATTTGACGTGTTCCAGACGACCACTGAAAGTGTTTTCAATATACAGCTACTGGAAAATGGCATAATGGAACCCTTTTTGATATAAAACAGGGTTCACAGGAGGAAACAGTGAGCAAGATGGTGAGTGTGATGAATCCTCGCTGCATTCACGCCCATGACCAACAAACTTCCTAGCAGACATGATGCTGAATCTGCTGCAACTGCAAACTGTCTTTTTTCTTGTTCTTTATTCTTTTTTGTAACTGGCGTTAAGAAGCAGCTAGGTTAATACCGTGATCAAAAAAATCTTTTAATGCAGGTCAGGTGCCATCACTGCCCCCCTCAGGACACCGGCTTATGGCATTTCATGGGAATTATTCTACTGTGTGTTATGCGTAAGTTAGGCTGTAGTTTGACATAAGTCCTGGACTTGGTATAAATACTCTATGTATACGCCCAAAATTGAAAAAAATACATAGAAAGTTCAGCATATGCCAGCGTTTTAGATGACGTCAGATATATGCTGTCTATAGGTGTGTCATAACAAATGTGTTGATCATAAACTTGAGCAAAACACTGATGACATCTTTTTAAAAATAATTAAACCTAAAAAAAATGTAATCCTCTTAACTCTATAATCTTTAAATAAAACCCAGTGCAACAGTGTTTTCTCTATGTTTTACAGCTAATTACTTAATTATTTATTTTGTTTCAGCTTTTATTGCCATTACACTGTCACAGAGAAACAAAATGAACTCTCTGCATTTAACCCATCCCTTTGAGGAGCAGTGGGCTGCCATTGTGCGGCGCCCGGGGAGCAGTGTGGGTCTTTTGCTCAAAGTGTGTGTCTGTGGGGGTGGGGCTAGAACTCAGAACCTCAGGATCCCAAGCTCTATGCCCTAACCACTAGGCCATCTCAAACCAACAACCTCCAGAATGGAAGTCAATGTCTTACAGCTGACACCACTGCAGTGTACTTTGCAATGGCAAACTACACTCCCAATTACCAAATTGTAGTAAACAAGCAGCATCAGAAAGATCAAGACACACAGGAGAGGGTGGAGAAAAGCTTTTAAAAGTAGTTTTTCAAAAGTAGTTATGTCATAAAACCGTGTCCCAAGCATTTTACAGGGTTCTGTTCAAGCCATCATCTGAAAGTAAAAACATACAAATTGGAATCTACCAGGACATGGATGTCCACCTAAACCAAAAACTTGGGGAAGCATTAATCAGAGAAGCAGCCAAGAGACTAAGCTAACTGGAGTAGTAGACACCCTGTGAACAGGATGGCTGGGTGTTGTAAAGCTCACAAATCTATTTTTTTATGAAAGAATTGCAAGAAGAAAGTTATTGTTCAAAGAAACCAACAAAGAATCCCAATTCAAAGTTAGCCAACAAGGGAAATGTTCAAAGCCCATCTAAAAAAAAAGAAGCTTTAAATTGATGTATTATATACTACATTTAGGAGTACTAAATCATGTGTGATCAAACAGAGAAAATATGAAAATTATTTTTGACAAATGTAACACATTACAACTTGTTTTACATTTTAGATTACACAGATCTAAATAGACCTCACATCTAAATGTTATAAGGAAATAAACAAGGTATTCTAAAATAACTTCACACTATAAAAAATATCTTCAGAACTCCAGATGGTAAACCCTAGAGATATTTAGAAGGGGATAGCTATAAAAATGGCATAAATACATACAGTTACTTTTCTCTTCAGTGAAAGAACTCAGACTGACCTACTCGAAGCTCCTGCCCAAAGACCGTTCTCTCTCCGAGCGCTGAACAGTTCCAGCGTCCATATCGGAACTGGTACTGACACTCATTGATGCCCATTTGGGCACCTTCGCCCACAACTATGATGGCGTCCGGCCGGGTCTGGCAGATGCCTCGCTGGCGAGGTGCCAGGCCTGGAATCTTGTTGCAGATGATGTTGGCACCCAGAGCCACAACCGAGGACAGGGCCCTGCCGGGGAAAGAAAAACACACAGCCATACATACACAAACCCACATACACACCCACACACCAGACACACAAACAGACTGAGTTAGACCTTGTTTGGACAAGCTGCACTGCATGAAAATATCACTGGTTGGTGGATAACCACAAAAAAAGAAAAAATTAACAAATTGAGTTGAGTATATCTCATCTGGTTCCAGTACATTTTGCAGTCCATAGTATCATGAACCGTAGGGAGAGGAATATTTCCCCCATTGCATAAGATCAGGGTTAGGCAACCTTTCTTATGTCTTATGTCAGTGCCATCTTAAATCTCCTCAGAAGTCAATGTGCTAAATTATTCACTGTATTAAAATACATGCATTTATTCCTGTATATCAGAAACCCTAAAAGCAACTACATAAAAATACATTTATCGACAGATGTTTGCAAAGCGCAGTTCAGGAGTTTTCAAAAAACATGTTTTTTTCCATAAAGAGACCAACATAATAGCAAAGGAAGCATACAACAGAAGATACATATTGTATTTGTGCCCTTCTCGCACAAATGATTGAAAAAAGTAAACTTAAATAACATGATGTGCATGTTAACAAAAAAACATACCTATTGCTGACATCTCGCTGATTGGTATTTGCCAGTTCTGGATTTACTTAAGGGAGGACAGAGGTCTAACAGAGCTGCTGAGCACATTTCATATGATAGAAAATCTGCTTACACAGATATATAGAGCCAAATACTAATAGGTCCTGCTCAATGTTCCTGAGATTGTTCAAAATGTCTGGTAGCTATGTCCGGTTTGTGAAAATGCAAGCCTCATACACAGCTGTACATGTTGTTGCTTTTTAAACTAGACCCCGCACAGAATCAAGCTCTTCAGATCAATCAGACACATTTCAGCTCATTGAAGCCTTCTGGTGTGATGAGAAATAAAAACCCTTTTGCAAAAAACCTCTATGTCCTGAAAACTTGTTAGGATTTCTGTCTTTGGATGCCTCTATATTCCCATGCTGTAGATGCTATATTTTCTCTCTTTGCTGTTATATGTAATAAGACCAAAAAGCCAGCAACATCCTTCTGACTGGTTAGAAAAGCAACTAAAATCTGGACAGCAGAGGAGTCAAGAAACGAAGCACAAATACTTTGTTACTGTATTTAAGTACACTTTTTAGGTATTTATACTTTACTCCATTACCTCATTTTCTTCCTACTTCTAACTTCTACTCATTAAATTTTCACACAAAATAATTAGAAGTACAAATTCTACTTCTGACTTCTACTCATCACATTTTCACACAAGTATCTGTACTTTCAATTCCTTACATTTTTAAAACAGATGTTAATCGTTACTCTGGGCTCGGTTTAATGTTTATAAATATTTATTTCACGTCATGTGCTCCATCCAATGCAGATCATTGGCTCCATCCACATCTAGTGAAAACTAGTGTGATTGGATGAGTCATATAACACAAACACTCATTGGTTAGCTAAAGGAAATCATCAGAAGCAAGCAGGTGTTCTTCAAACTGCAAACGTGAATTGTCTATGCCATGCTACAATGTTGGATTCAGAAACAGATGTTGAAATGTCTGAAAGGTCAGACACAGGTGAGAGCAACAAGACCTCCCTCATCCTTGGCCCTATCTCAAAGAATTTTTCAAAATAGTCAAAAAATTGAGCTTTCAATTGATATAGTGGCATCTGGCTGTTTTTTTTTTTTTAAGGTTACTTTATACGTTCATACTTTCAGTAGGTTTTAGAGCTCATACTTTTTCACTTTTGCTTGAGTAAAGAGGTCAAGTTGATACTTCAACTTTTACCAGAGTGTTTTTAAACTGCAGTATCTATACTTCTACCTAAGTAACAAATGTGTGTACTTTTGACACCACTGCTGGTCAGGGATTTCTAGCCAATCACTAATTAATGCGAAGTGAAGATACTGTCATTAGCAACTTATCTGTCTGTGCTAGCTAATGTAGAATCCTTAGATGAATGTGCTGTGTTACTTCAGGTAACCCCTTGTGTTCCACTTGTGGCACATGTTCCCATACGGGACACCGTCCATCCTAGCATCTGTCGTGTCATTGGGTATTTTTCCCCAAAAAACCCAGAAATCTCCTATCCGTACAATGAAGCAAACATAAACAATCCTCTACATTTATTTTATTGGCACTGTTACAGGTACTGATAATTCTGTCATTATACATTTACTCAAGCGATGTCTAAAATTAGTGATAATCTTAAACATGTTGAAGACAATACAGTAGGAGCCTGCAGAAAGCCTGGATGCATGTTTGACTATACTGCTGACATTAAGCGCTGGCTTGGATGATGACAGTCTGACTAACAAGTTTGGGGTTTCTGTACTAATTGCTTGGTACCATACTGCAATGAACTGATTCCAGACTCTGTTTGAATATATTGTCCATAAGTGTGGTTGCTACTGGTGTAGAAGCAGTGTCCCTCTTTTAAACACATGTCCCACAAAGAAATACATCTCAGGGTTTGTTTAATTACATGTTTGAGACGGACTCTCGAAATAAAGTACTACCCTGATGTTCACAAAAGACAGCTATTCTTCAGCCAGATCCCACAATTAATTTGTAATGAATACATAAAAGGTTTTTTTTAAACACAAATCACCCTAATTCAATGTGTCATTATGCTTATGAGAAAATGACACCCCTCGTACTCTGCTCTACTTAGAGAGAGACAACAACACACATGCAGTAATTTGCTGTAAATACAGAAAAAGCATACGTTTAAGGTGGGCTCTGCAGTTGCTGTGGAAGCCAAAAACAGATTAGTGCCAAAAAGAAAGTGCCAACTCCCTCCAGGTCTGTGTTTACAGCCATCAAAACTGTGTAGATACATACTTTTCAAACATGTTGAGGACGGGCAGCCAGAAATGAACTTGGAGGAACACTGCTGCTTTGAAATACGACATTGACCTCGAAAAGGATTAACCGCAGACATGAGTGAACAAACTCAGGCAAATTGTGTGTCAGAGTAAAACAGGATGGAAGAGCTCAGGGATGGAACAAATGAAGAGGAACAATGCTAAACAAACAGTTTTATTGCATCATGATTCAACTTAACAGAGAATCTGAATAAAAACCAAGGACAAAAGTATATATATATATATTAGGGATGGGACGATTTATGAAGACCGTCAGAATCGTTCGGTTCGACTGTCTCGGTTCGGTTCGCGTGTGTTTCGTTCGGTTCATGCGCTGCTCCTTTTTCTCATAGGTGAAGCGTTTACACTCCAGAGCAGAAGGTGGCGGTACTGCGACCAAAGCCAACCACCAGTAGTAAACAAGAAGAAGAAGAAGCGAAGCAGCGTAGCCGGGTGTAGTAGAAAAAAATCAGTTGTTGGAAGACGCGCCAGCAGCACTT